ATATAATTCATAAATTATCAAAGTATTGATTGTTTGTTTGCAGGAAATCATGATTAACCACCTGTCCACTACAGTGGACGTTATGCATCACTGGCTATATTTCAACTACAATGAATACTGGTACTGCTGCTGCTGTACCCAGGGCCGTCCCTCCCTACAGGCAGATCATGCAGACTGTGTGGGGCCTCACCTTGTGGAGGAGGCCACACCTTGCGTGAGGTGCACCTATGCGCTTATGTGGCGCAATTAGGGTGGCTCGGCACGGTTTCGCCGCTGCGAGGCTCCACTAGCACTCATCAAATAACTGTGCATGGGGCCTCAAATTGGCCCCTGGCCCTGGTTATTCTTGAAAATACTTCATCTGCAATATCTTTTTGGGCCGTAATTCAATAAACTTATGTTATTATAATGTAATTTTAAGTTTGCACATCTTTATTTATAATTTTTTCAAAATGTACATCTCTTCAGTTCAAACCCTGAACACATACTGTCCACCTGAGTGGACATATAAAAATCTCTGAAAAAACTAGATTAAAAAAAAAAAAGTTCAAATCTTGTTTTTCATGCCCCAAGAGCAATAATAACACTTGGTAAAAAAATCCTGACTGAGGCTTTCATAATTCATGCATGAAAGCATGAAATGCATTATTTGATGCTTTCTACTTCATTACATTGTATTTGAACAAATTGTCAAAAATAGCAGGCAATTATTTTTGTTTTCCCACCTTGAATGTAGGCTATTGTTCATTTTTAGTTAAATATATAGTAAAATAACAAGGTATGTGCCATATAATGATATTCATAAATTATTATTATATTTAGGAAGAAGTTCATGTACCATAGAGTGCCGCAGATAGCAGATAATCAATGAGTTTAAAAGTGTTTCTGTGTTTACTATTTCCCTCTTCCTTATACCACTATGCAGGTGACTCTGGTTGCCACGGCGCCCCTCACTAACCTGGCTGTAGCGGTGTCACTGAACCCAAACTTCACCCAAAAACTGAAGGCGCTCTACATCATGGGAGGAAATACTGAATGTAAGATACCTGTGTGTGTGTGTGTGTGTGTGTGTGTGTGTGTGTGTGTGTGTGTGTGTGTGTGTGTGTGTGTGTGTGTGTGTGTGTGTGTGTGTGTGTGTGT